AGGATAGGCTCCAAAGCTACACAGGGAAACCCTGTCTTGAAACCCCCCCAAAAAAAATATGGGGGTCATTTCAGATATGTGGGAAACGTTGAGGAGATTCATTTCAGTTTCTATCGTGCCCATATCCCGAGTCATGCCCTTGGCAGTGTCTATGGTAGAAGCCCTGTTGCCATTGTCACCTGGAAGAGTAATATTGTGAGGATGAGTATCCCTCCTGCCTGTAAACGTTCTGCAGGGCCTTGCCCTGGAGACCCCTCATTCCCTTTTAGGGCAAGAATCGTGTTTGGAAGTTGTGGTCTGAGTTGTGCTGTTAACTTTGCTAAGAACGATTACCTTGTTTAGGTGGAAGTTTTGTTTTCACACTGTGCTTGTGGTGAGTATTTATTTCCAGGTTCGAGCTCACCGACTGGGGAAATGCTTGCTGGGTAGCATCTCTGATTCAGTTTTTTGGAAAGATGGTTTGCTTATGCACCTTTAACCTCGAAGGTTCTCTTCATTCTGTGGCGTGACTTATCAACTGACCCATGATGTCAGCGTGTGACAGGGTAGACCAGTTTCATAGATGGCCTCCTTTTTTGTGTTTCAGAAGTTACAGGAAGTAGCTGTATGGAGTGTTGGTCTGATTTTCATGGCTGCCCCTGCGCTCACAGGTAAGACCGCCAGGTTTTGTGTTCCTGACTTACTGAAGGTGCCGTGATTTTTGTGAGCTAAGAAGTCCTGGTGAAGAGGAGAGTTATGGCAATCCCAGATGCTTCTGGAAACCACGTGAACAATTACATTCACATTTCCTCTGGGATGTCATGTAATTCCTAGCATAGTTAAGGGTAATCTCTTCTGTGGGCCTTGCGTCGGAGCCATTTGCTATACTGTGTTGACAAGTGTGCAAGGCAGAAATTTGTGACTGGGACAGGGACCGAGTTAATAGATACAGAAATAACCTCACATTTTCTTTACTGTGCACGTATGTGTGTTGGAGTGCACGCACCATGTCACGTGTGTGGAGGTCAGAAGGCAGCCTTTTTGTTTGTTTGCTTTTTCGAGACAGGGTTTCTCTGTGGCTTTGGAGCCTGTCCTGGCACTCACTCTGTAGACCAGGCTGGCCTCGAACTCAGAGATCTGCCTGCCTCTGCCTCCTGAGTGCTGGGATTAAAGGCGTGCACCACCAATGCCTGGCTAGAAAGCAGCTTTTTGAGATGATTCTGTTCTACCGTGTGTGTTCCTGAGATTGACTTCAGATCATCAGGCTTTTGGCAAGTGCTTTTACTTGCTGAGCCATCTCTCTGGCCCTGGAACACGCTTCTACTAAAAATTCATTCATGGATGTTCTCAAGATCTGTATGGCTATTTTTGTGAATTTCTTTATTTTTCTTTCTCGGCCTTGGGCCAAAAGCTATACAGGCCGGAAAACAAGAGGGGAAAGATGGCTTTGAAGGGTAGGGTATAATTCTGACCTATGTGTGATCCCAGAGCTCGTCACTTTTATTACTTACCAAGATTGGCTGCCAGTGGAGCGAGGCTGCCCCTCTCAGGTTCCGAGAAGAACAATGGTGGGATCCATATTAGGTTGTGGGAAAAAAATTGAGAACAGTGGGACCACTAGGTATATTATTTCGAGATGCTTTTGATAGCTTCATTTATTTGTATAAGTGACACTTAACAAGGTACATGGCATGGCACTGTGGCTTGTGCTTGTAGTTCCAGTTTCTAGGAAGAGTGAGGAGTTGGTGGGCCCAGGAGTTTGTGGCTCAGGGAGGGCAACACAGTGTAACCCTAGCTCCAAAAACAAAACCCCACTTGGCAAAGTGTTGAAATCATTATGGTTGTAAAAACAAATTTATTTGTCTTGCGTATGTTTGTGACATGCCCATTTATTGTCTGAGATTTCCTACCTTATCTGGCAAACCAATGATTTTTTTTTTAATTTTATTTTATATATATGTGTGTTTTTCCCGCATGCGTGTTTGTACACTGTATGCATGCTTAGTACCAGTGGAGGCAAGAAGAGGGATTAGGCTTTTTTGGGGCTGGCATTACAGATGGTTGTGAGCCACCGTGTGGTTGCTGGGAACTGAACCCAGGTTCTCTGGAAGAGCATCTAGTGCTCTTAAACTGCTGAGCCGTCTCTGCAGGCCCTGAGTTTTCTGAAACAGGTTC